ACAGAATAACCTGGGCTACAGAATGAGACATAATCTCAAAAGAAAGAAAGGGGAGTAGGAAGATAAAAGAAAAGAAAAAGGTCACACAATAGATGGTTGATTTTTAATAGTTCTTTATCCCATCCCAGCTTTCACCAGCCTGATGTCATTTCTCTCAACAAACCTAGTGAAGCCATGGCTCAAGTTGATACATCATTATTCTACACTGCATGATGTGAAGAAAACAATGCATTTCACCACCAGGTCTCCAACAATCTGAACTTTCTCATGAGGAGGCTTAACTGAAGTCCCCCAGTTTCTACAACCTATAAAAGATTACTTGGCTAGGATCATTTATGGGAAAGGCAAGATTATAAAGGCCATCGGTTTTTGCAAATAAATAATTGATCTACACTACAGTCACAATCACTTTTATCTGAGCATACACACGTAGTCTCAATTTCATCTCGCTGTTCTGCTACAGTGTTTGAAAATAATACACTGTATTTTTTCACAAAAGATTGGCCAAAATAGCTATCCCATAAGAAAAATTATCTGGCCCAACCTTGAGTCATCTGTCTTCTGACTGACACAAGTGATCTAGCTCAGTCATTGCCATGTGATTTAGAGGTGTGCCTTAGCTCGATTCCTGTCTGCTCATACGCAAACGATACATGCCATTCCATCCTGATGGTGACATGAAGTCAGACTGGGAAAGGTTAGAGTAAGGAAATTTTAGGTAACCATCAGTACATTTGGTCTTTTTCCCTCTACAAAACAACCTTGCTTCTTGGAGGCAGCAAGAAATAAACTTATTTTCTAAGTAGAAATCCAAGTCATATATATCATTTAAGGTAAAACTTCATAAAGCCCGGTTGCTGCCTTCAATAGAGGGCAATTTTTCATCAGCTAGGTCTGTCAGATTCATTTTATTTCACAAATTGGACAGCCGAATCTGTGTGTTCTCTCTCAGCCATAAGAAAATGGTATTCTTTTAGCTGGCGAAATTGGGCTTTATTTTTGGACTTTCTTTTTATCAAAGATGAGGAAAAATACCTTGACAGTATTCAACATTTTCAAAAGCACATGATATTTATAAAGGATAAGGCCAGCACAAAACTTAAGACATTTGGTAGATATTACTTCATGAACCTTAGACTGCCTTTGAACTAAATCAGAGATGCAAAACACAAATATTTGTTGAGAGCTTAGCATGTACCAGGAGCTGAAGTGGATAATCTCTATCAGTCACCTTTCTCAGTCCTTACTAAATCCTCTATGCTGGTGATTTTATGCCATTTTAAAGATGAGAAAACTGAACTAAAAAGAGATCAGTCATTGTCCCGAGATGACACAGACGGCAAGTGAAAAGAAACCAGGATGCAAACCCTGCCCTCCAGGCCTCAAAACCACATACTCTTGAGTGGCTTACAATGAAGAAAATGACTTGTAATGCTTGAAACAAGAGTTCCACGATCACTTGATACATTTGCCAGTTACAATCCTTGACACAGGAGGGCTTTGAATTGTCTTTTCCAGAATTTAGAAACATACAAGAGGCCTGCTACTTTGTTTTACAAGGTAAAAAAACAGTCTTTGTGACTGAATCAGACAAAACTACCACACAAAAGGCACAGAAACATATAAATCATAAGCATAGACACAAATGCATGAAAAATACTAGCTGATTGGATTCTAGCCATGCCTTAAAAACAAAGCATTATTAGGTAAGTTTTATTTCAAAATTACGAGTGTAGTTCAGCATGAGGAAATTTTAAGAAAAGCAAAAGATACTCTAAGTCCATTAGAGAGCAAAAAAGTCATTTTCCTGAAGCATGCCCTTTGTATACTAGCAAACAATAAGAAATAGCAGCATAATTATACATATGCACACATGTCAGGAGACACAAACTAGATCTATTACTACTCAAGGTAGAAATTAAGAAAAAGTATATCTATTATTGCTGCTTTTACTTAACAACATTCTGTGGATTCTTCCCAAGAGAGAAGCAAGGAGGGAGGCGGGAAAATATATAACCCTCTCTTAACTTTATGATTAACAATCTAAAATAGCTTCATGGAAGCTACCTAAAATCTTTGACAAGTCTAATCACATCTAGTATAACTATAAATCAAAATTTGCTTTTATTATCAAGAGTTCTCAGTCTTCATCCATAAATATCAAAGAGTAAATATCTCAGGCTATGCTGGCCATATGGTTTCTCTAGCAACTACTTAATTTTACCACCACTGCACAAAGGCAGCTATTGACTATTTGTATCTGAGCAAAGGCGGTTATGCTCCAGTAAAGCTGTGTTCACAAAAACAGGAAGGAGGATGGATATGGCTCATTGGCTACAGTTTGCTGACCTCTGCTTTACATCACACACACACACGCACAAAGAGAGAGAGATGGTGACAGAGACAAAAAGAGACACAGAGACATAGAGATACAGAGAGACAGAGAGAAGAGATAGAAAAGTTATTTCAAACATCAAGAAAATATAAAAGCCTAGAAGTAAACCTTACAAAGGCTACTTTGAGTATATGAGTCAAAACTTAATTATAAATATTCTTTCAATCCAACAATTCCATTTCTGGGGATTTATTCTAAGGATACAATTAGAGATAAGGACCTAGAGATCTGCACACAGGGCTATTTACTACTATATTATCTATTGATAATATCTATCCATGTCTTATTTGTTAAAAACAAGTTCTATTCACATGCATGATATCAGGTATTTTTTTAAAATGAGTATGCATAAGAAGTTTTGCATATGGGCTCATTTGTGTCTAAAGGTAGAGTTATGAGCAACTTTTTAGTTTTTTTTTTAAGTCAGTTAAATAAAAACAAGATTTGGAACTGAGGAGATGGATCAGGGATTAAAGCATGTGACAAACCAGCATAAGGACAGGTGTTCAGATGCCCAGAACTCACATAAATACCCAGTGAGCATGGCAGTTTTCCTATAATTCTAACCCTTAGAAGGTTAGAGAGAGAATACCCACTATATCAAACTAGCTAGCCAGGCTAGCCAGACTAGCATACTGGCAAGCTCTGCATTCAATTGGGAGAGCTTGCCTCAATGAATAAGGTGGCAAATGACCAAGTAAAACTCCCACTGTCACCAACTTAGTTCTGACACACACATATCCGTGCACAAGAAAACACATAAGCACACACATCACATATATATGAGGAAAAAATCATTTTTTTTCAGTTTTTAAGAAAAATGAGCATAGTAATTATGCTATGCTCAATGATTTCTATGAATTCTGATGCAGTTCATAGACAGTATTCTCCTCAAACAAATCATATCAATACATATTATAATTTTTACATTAAGATACTACAACAGGAGTTTCTTTAAATTAGTATAACCACTTCATAACCTAATGCTATGACTCTTTTGTTATAACTAACATAAAAAAAGAAAACTATCAAGAATTCTCACACTTTTCTTATTCAATGGTAGTCCTGCATGTATGAGTATGTGCATATGTGAATGAGCATGTACATATATATGTACACTCATTGTCTGCTAAGGGAACAAAAAAAGGCCAGAGAAGGGAAATAGAAAATAGCCAATGATGATAAATGAAAGACCAGAATAGATGAATATCTCACAGAGAAGGGCTGAAGAGATGACTGGTGATTAAGAACACTTGTTACTCTTGGAAAGGACCAGGGTTTGATTCCCAGCACCCACATGGTGGCCCACAAGCATCTTTATCTCAAGTTCTAGGGAATTAAATGCCTTCTTTTTATCTCTGCAGATGACCAGGAAAGCATGTGGTACACATACATACATGCAAGCAAAACACCCATATACATATTAAAAGAAATAATTTTTTTAAATATCTTACAAAGAAATAAGTATTAGTCTACAAATTCACTGCTCAAGGCATTATTTATGGCTCTACAGCACATAAATCTTGTCTGTTGGGTTAGAGGAAACCCCTAACATTCTTAAAAGCTCTCATTCATAATTTACCACAACTAAATTTTAGCCTCCTAATAAAAAAATGTAAACTTATATGATTTATATCTATTTGTGAAAATATATTTTCCTCACAGTTAAAATAGGTCTCTAATTATTTGGCCAATGATTTGACATTATATATAATATATAAGTTAATATATATTAAATATACATCCACTTAAAATCTCAAAAAAATAGGCATGAGAAAGAAAGAAATATAATTCTTCTCACTTCCCTAAAATTCTCTGTGTTACTGGATGCAAGTTACATTTGCAGTTTTCAAATAAGGAAATTTCCTTTACAGTTGTCAAAAAAGGAAAAAAAATATTATTATTATCTTCTAAAACCAATTCCCTTATCTGGTTTTGAAATCTTCCTACTTTCCTCCCGAAAGAGCTTGCTTAAACAGATTAACATAAAAATTAGACTCAATGCAAACACAGTCTTGTTCAGTAACAGATATTTCCAACTTTTGTCAGGGTTCACAAGCACAAATGAAAATGTGTACGTGCACATGTGAGTATGTCTGTGTGAGTTTGTCGTTCCTCCAAAGGTCATGGGAGAAAGGTGAGTGTCCCAAAAATTTGGATGTTAACAGGAACAGTATGACAACCATGGTCATCCAGAGTTCTCAAAATGAAGTCAAAAGACAATGAGGTGTTAAATACATTCTGTAAGCCATAAAAACTCAGAAGACAATAAAAAAGAAATGAGGCTTACCTTGAACAGATTAGACAAATAAGTTTCTTGATGTGGCATACCAGTCATTAACTATTTTTGTGTTCCCAAAGTCTATCAAGTACTATTTATTCTACAGTAGAATTTGCCATTGCACTCTCAAGAAAAAAAAAAAACTAACTACCTACAACAGGCTTGTGTTAAGAAAATTAGGGAAACTATATTCTACTAAAACAAATTTTGGACATGAATTTAGTATAGTTTTTAAAATGGATAATCTGAATTCAAACAATGAACTATTTTTCTTGTCAAATATTATTTTGGAAAGAATATCACCAAACTCTCATAGAAACTTACCCTTCAACTTGAGGTCAACATTGTGTCTCAGCCAAGGATAAACCCCATAGCTTGGCATATCTTCAGGAATTGGGTTATTGCTTATCCAGCCATCACAAGCAAACCGGAAAAAATTCTCACAAGGATCCACAGAAAGATTTACTTTGCTCATGATGGCAGCAGCTATTTAAAAAGAAAATCATAGGATTAAGGACTACTAAAGGCAAGCACTTGATGCTGTGCACTGTTCTCTTCCAAATTCAACAAAACCATTTCATATCAGCCATTTCCCAAACCTTGGCTTCAACCTTTCTCCTCAAATGTCTCCCAGGATGAGCTTCACTATATAAAATGATGGTCTTCAAAGTGTATAGGAGAATGCCAAGTGTATAGGAGAATAGTGGGTGAAATTACTGTTACTATTTTTTTCAGATTGTTCCTAACATCTTTGGAGTGTGCAACAAGAATATAAATGGAATATATTTAGTGATCAACTGTTGGCCTTTCTTCCATCCCAGATGTTCCCCTGCAAACTAACTTGGCTATGCTTCCCATGGAACAACATAGTCCATTGGCCCAGTTTCAAGTGATACTGAGCTCACTTTCTCACTTTATTTGATCAACGTAAGTGTCAGGGATGGCTTCTTGTGATTTCCCAAGGTAAACATTGAAGGAGCCCAGTACCCTCTATACTGGATCCCTTCAAACAGAGCTTTGGAACCATCCTTTGAAGGTGTCTCCTAGAACATAAGAGGCCATGTTAAGGAAATATAATTTCATACTCAAACCCTGGCTGGCCTCAGACTCATAGCCATCTTCCTGCCTCAGCCTTCCAAGTCCTAAGATTACAGGTATGAGCCACTACACTTGGCTCTATCTATGAATTTAAAAATAATTATTACAAAATGAGAAAAAGAGAAGGTTCCAATATTCCTAATACCCACCTCCAACCATCTTCCAGCTGCAACACAATTGCTGGCTGCAAAGATCTGCACCAATTGATTTTTAAAAGACTGCCAATATTTTAATAACATTGGAAAGATGACATTCTGTTCAATTTTCATACCTCAGTTAATGCTAGAATACACTTCTAGCATTCATAATGCTAGAATGGATTTCATAGAAATAATGAAAATCCAATGAGTTATCAGCTAAATTAGAATGAACCTCCCACCCCTGTACAATTTACATAAATTTACAGATGTATGTTTTGGTTATGTAAGCAATTTCTCCAGGTTAAAAAGTACAGTTAAATGTCTCACTCTATTTCTTATGAAAAAGGCAAATCACTGCAGTTTTCCTCAGTACCTGTGCGAAAACCCAAGAAGATGGAGAAGAGACATTTAAGAGTTGTGGGGTGGGGAGCCATTGAAATGAACATACAAACACCCTAACTTTTTGTTTCATTTTGTATTTGGGACCTAATTTTGTATTTAATCCTAGCTGGCCTAGAGCTCAATGTGTAAACTAGGCTGGCCTCTAACTCATGACAATTCTCCTGCCTCTACCTGCTCAGTGCTAGGATTACAGGCATGAGCCACCATGCCCAATACATAATTTCCATAGGACTTTAAAATCCTTACCATTTTCAGCCACTATCTTTAAAATAAACAAGGAGGAAAAAATCAATTCAGAAATTGATAAATTTCAAGTCGGTTTTTTTCCTTTTTTTTTTCCAGACCTAATTCATTGTCTCTAACTACACTTTTACTTACTGCTACTATTTTATCATTCTAATTTAATATTCAAAAGTGCTAGGGCACAAAAATTTTACTCCAGCTCAGTTTGTGCAACCACAGATGGAATCTGCTATATAACACCTCAAGGACATGGATCACACATGTCTCAGTCCCACACAATATTTACAGTCACACAAGGGAGCCCTCACACGCACTTTGACTCACATAAGCTCATTGCTTTCTGGCTTCCTTCCCTAACTTCCCCTGCCCCCAACTCTTAAATGCCTCTTCTCTATCTCCTTGGGTATTCTCACAGGTACTGAGGAAAACTGCAAACTCAGCTCTGACCTTGGTCCCCATGGAAAACTGAATTTGGAAAGAAGCCCGTGGAGGGAAAAAAGTCTTCCCTCTGCTTTGCAACTAATCATCCCCCACTCACAGTTAGAAGCAGAGCTGCCCTTTCTGTGGGAAACTGTGACTTCAAATTGCAAGGGAACATAGTTGTCAAGACACCAAAACTCTGTTCCCCTATTCAGCTCCATGGTGCAAACTGAGAATCTTGATTTAATAAAAAGAAATTTGATTATGAGTGAAAGCACAAACTGCCACCTTCTCAATTAACCTCACTAGGTTAATTTTTGGATGGGCTCCCACTAGTCTATATGAAATAGGGGAAGGCATTCACTACATATACCCCCAGAGGCGTTAGTTTCAATCAGAGCTCAAAGGAGAGTTTTATAAAGACTTACATATTAATATTTCTATGTAATAATCAAGTCACTCACATTATATATTTCCTCTGTACCTGGAACTATATCCTAAGCTCTTTTGAGCAATAAAGCCTTTTCATTAACTCTAGAGTGGGGCTGCTTGCATTGAAATGACAACAACACTATGCAATAGCTAAGTAAATGTCTTAGGTTTCTATTGTTGCAGTAAAACACCGTGACCAAAAGCAAGTTTCAGTAGAAAGTCTTTATTTGCTTTACAGATTAAACAGTCCATCATGAGAAAGAGCCGAAGCAGGAACTGAAGCAGATTCCAAGGAGGGATGCTGCTTACTAGCTTGTTCCTCAGGCTCATGTTCATCCGCTCTTCTTAAACCTTCCCAGGAGTGGCACTGCATACAAGGGGTCTGGAGCTTCCCACACAAATCCTTAATCAAGAAAATGCCCCCACAGACTTGTCCACAGGCCATCTGATGGAGGCATTATTTCAATTGAGTTTGTATGTACACAGTTATCTAAACCCAGAACAATTCACACACATTTAAGTATTTTATAAAAAAATTCCATAAGCAGTCATCTAAAAGTTCATGCTAGATTTCCAGAGCTTGCAGATTTTCAAATTTTGGAAAAGAAATACAACGTGTATAGCCAGCAGTGATCTAACAGTTCACCAATGGCTGGAGCTGTACCACTCAAGCAAGCACATTGTATTCCTAGAGGGAAGTAAATGCATACTCTCCTAAGTGGAATAAAGAATGTCTTACATGGCTTCATATTAGTTACTTTTGCTAATGGACTCAGTTTTGTGAAAGAAACTGAGATCGGGTTTGATGTTATGAATTCCATTGCTTTCAGGGGTTAGGGGTTTTGATGCAGGGGTACTATTACTGTTTTTATTTTCTGTGATTCTCACAACTCCTATGAAAGTTCAAAACTCTAGTCCCATTTCACAGGTGATGAGACTACAGTCCAAGATGGTCATGAACTTAACATAGATCATGTAGTTTCCAAGTATCTAGATTATGTTCCAAACCCATCAGCCTGTCTACACTGACTCATTATCATTAGCAAACCCACCCATTGTTTCCCTGTAGTCTTTCTCTGTAGTGTTTGCAGTCAAAGACAAGTTAGAACAACAGATCATTGAAACAAGGAAAAAGTAGAAAGTTGTAGAGCCCCTTGCTCAGAAAAGGAACACAACTTAGTCAGGCATGTCCATTTCTGGGAATTTCACCACCAGTACATGTGCCTGAGTACCCTTTTCTGACCAGAACACAAGCTCTTGCATAAAGCCAGGCTTCAATTCTCATGCCATGTGTACAATCGCTATTCCACAGATCCCTGAGTATGCTGGTGCTCATAGTGCATTGGGGAAGGCTGAGGCCTGCCTTGGTGAGCTTATACTATAGAAACAGCAAAATTAGCATTTTTTTCCTAACATCAGGAAGCTATTTACTAATGTGAAAATTAAAAACAGGACAGCAAGGCAAAACACACTAGGTGACAGAAGGTGACATCACAAAAGATCACTCTGTCCATTTTCACTCTGGCGCTATTATTATTTATATCAAATGAAATTCATGAAGTAAGTGGCCTTCCATGCCTAAAGTTGTCTAAACTAAAACTGAACACTTAGGGCTTGAATATTTTAATTTCTCACACCTGCAAGAACTCTGCCACAGCTAAAGTACCAAGTGACGTGACATTTACAACCTGTCATCTGATTGTAAAACCTGGTCTCTCACTTTACTCCATGAAATAATCTCTCCAGGTGCTAAGCCTCCAGGCCAACTCCTCAAGTTTGGAACAGAAAAGGGGCATGAGAATTTCACAATATTCCAAAAAGGAAAAACATCACCTTTCTAGGGACAATATTAAGAAACAGAAAAGGCTGTCTATTCACTAGATCCTTGCGTAACTCTACTGTCATGAAGAAAAAAAAAAAAAGACTGGAAGCCTTTGCACAGTTACTTGGCTTGGCACAGAGGAAAGGAACGAGAGGAGCCAGATGTAGACCAGAAGTCTAGCTCTGCCCCTAATTCACAATGTGATCCTGAAAAAGTTTGCCTTGAGAAGCATACATTCTCTCAGCTATAAGAACTTCATAGAGTTCTTACTAGATTTGAGGAAATGGCAAGTGGGAGTCACTCAGCACATTGCTTGGTTGAAAAAAATACTGATCGTTCAAGAATGGGGCAAAAGGGGGACTTAATATAAAAATCCAGAGGTGCTGCTGATGCCCTGGTGACCAGACTCCCCTGATCATAGCTCCAATTTTATCCACTCAACCCACTCCTCCCAATATGAGAGGAATGAAGTTCAGAACAACCATGAGTCCTAGCAAGGCTGCTTACACACTCACCAAAGTGATGTCTTAGTTTTAAGCCAACTTGGTCTTTGACTATGTTAATACTGAGAGGCATGAACTGATAGTGTAAGACAGAGGTTAGCCTCTGTATGTGTGAGACAAGGTCTCATTATGTAGCACTGGCTGTCCTGGAACTTGATATGTAAACCAGGCTGGCCTTGAACTCACAGTGATCTACCTGTCTGACTCCTGAGTGTCTGCTCACCACAACCAGCAGTTTATGAATTCTTTCACCTAAGTCTCTCCCATTTCAAACAATGTCACTGTTTTACATATAAGCATCACCCTAAACTCCTGTCTTTTTCCAATCATCTTTTTACAATACATCTCAACCCCACCACAACCACAATGCCTTCAGCAAGTTTCTCAGCTCCTAAATCTGCAATCTTCATCTCAAATTCAAGATAACATCCTCTCTCACCTGGCCTACTGGTTGTACCCTCCTTTCTGATTTTCTTTCTCCCCAAAGTTAAATTCTCTACAGGAAGACAACTGTCACTTTGAGACAGGGTCTTTCCATTTACCTCTATAGACTGGTCTTGAACTCTTGATCCTCCTACCTCTGCCTCGAGGATACTGGGATTACAGCCATGTATCACCAGGATCAATTTATGTGCGCTGTTTGAACTCTGAGCTTCATGATGATAGGCAACTACTTTACCAATTGAGCTACATCCCCAGCTCCCTTTGTGTGTTTTTTGTTTTCTTTTCTCCTCCTACCTAGTTCTTAGAAATATAAACCCCTGGTATGAACAATAAATATTTGATATATTCACTCATTAATCTCTTCTCTTCCAGTCAAGAGAAAAGCCCACATGCTTAATTACCCTATGACTTCCTCTTTTGGAAATTCCCTAGGGTCCAGCCCACTTGAAGAATGGAGGGTGGTGGAGGCAGGGATTTAGCATCTTCAAATCTAGGCCTCGACTGAATTATGGGGATGTGAGCAGGATTTAATAGCTGTGCCAAAACCAAGGCAACGTTAAACATGAATCTGTTGCCTTACTGTCCACACTGATACATGGTCATGTCACCTCCAAAGAAGTCCAACTTGCCTCACAGAACAGATGCACCCAACAAGATTCCAGCAGAGGCATAGATTTCTACAGGGTCCCTTCTTAGAATCAATCAGGCCATGTCCTTGACTCAGAAGAAATGCAAAGTCTGCTTAAGATAAAGAGGAATCTGGCCTCAGTGGAGCCATAAGAAGCTCACAGTCTCCAGTCTCTGGGTTTTAAAAGAGGACACTGCTTTCCAGGCCCTTTTCTGAGTTCCTTATCACAAGGGTTGAAATATTGCACAGCCTCGTTTTTCCAAAGAAAACAGGAAACCTAAGCTCCACTACATCACACCAAACCTTGAAAGTAAACTTGAAATGTCTTCAAAATTGTATTTTGTAGTTGGTCAACCTCAAGCAAACAGAATACTAAAAATACTACCTGTTTTCTCTTCCACGCCCCAAGGTACCAAAATTATAACTTGACACAGGGTGGAAAACAGACTTACCGGCTTCTATGCATTCTGGCTTCAGGCAGTACTCCTGTTTAGCTTGGAAACTTACGAGACCTTGACTCACTGAAAAAAAAGAAGCCAAAATAAATGATTGATTTGTAGCAGATCACCACCAAGTTAAATATGTTTGAGCACATATGCAAAACATTTGCTATCAGTTCATACTTCTCAGTATTGACATGACAGTCAAAAACCAAGTTGGCTCAAAACCAAGGAACTACTTTGATAAATATGTAAACAGTCTCCTACGGTTATTATGAAATTCATTCCTCTCGTATGGGGGAGGAGTAGATTGAGTAGACTGAGTGGGTAAAACTGGTGGAGCCATATTGAGGAGTCTACTCACCAGAGCCACGGCAGTACCTGGAAGCTTACTAGATCTCTGGGTTCAGAGATCACTCCAGATCTCTGGGTTCAGAAATTCTGGAGGTGGGGAACAGCCATCTTGTATACCTTGGATTTGGTTGACAGAGATTAAACCCAGAGCCTCCCACAAACTGAGCTGCATGTACCCTGGAGATACACACCCACATGCGCGCACACACACAAACACACACAAACACACAAATAAACAAATTTTTGTACAACTGAAATAGTTTTCAGCAATACTTTCCCAGCTGGTGGCAAGCAACATTGTCTATCAGGAATTTTCAGTCCTGAGACATGACAGTGTCTTCAACAAACTTCATGCTTGAGAATCATGCAATAAAGTCACAAAAATGAAAGCATTTTTTTAAATCTCCTAATATTTTAAGTAAGTTAAGATTTTTGTGTTGGGCCACATTCATAGCTGTCTTTAACAGTATGCAGGGTGCAGGCACAGGTTAGACATGAGTGGTTTTTTTGTTTCAAAAGCAAAGAGGAATACACTGGCTTTGAGCTTCAGTTAGGATCTGGGCATTAGCAAATGTGAGCCTAAAATTAAAACCTTTTTGAAAATTACATGTTTTGCCTCCATAGCTGGAGAAGTTATGAGGCATTCATTATTGCTGGGCTCCATGAGTAAAAACAAGGAATCTTTGAAGATATGGCCATGAAGAAATGGACCATGGGGGCTTGAGAAATGCAGTCTGGAAGCCTACATTTCTGCTTGAGATGCAGACCTGAAGATCACCTGCCAGACTGGCATGTCTTATTACTTATGATCCCATATCCTAAGAGGAGCCTGCTTTGTCTTTGTTCTTTTCTCTCTTCCCTCCTTCAAACTGCCTTTTTATCTGTGTTACATTATAGATTCAAGAAACCTGCCGACAGAACCACTCAGACCTATTTTCCAAAGAAGTTTTATAACATAAAAGGAGTGTTTTGATTTTTTTGGCAAAGAAAATAACTAGGTAAAAATATATTAGACTGCATAAAGATCAGTGCGGGACATTTCAATGTACCTCAGAGGTGGAACCGTGGTGAGCTCTTCATTGTGGTCCATTTTTAAATGTTTACCTAGTGTACTTAAGTGAATATTTTTTATGATAGAAACAAATTTTACTAGAAATAATAATTTATTATTAATAATAACAGCTTTATTTTTCAATCTTATGAAATGAAAAAGGTTATTCTTTTTTTCAAAACTTTGGGGTAAGAGGCAGGATAATCAGATATTTGAGGGTAACTGTTGCTACGTTGTAACTTCTTAGCCAGCCTAGGCTACATGAGAAGCAGTCTCAAAGTTCTCCAAAACTACCCTTATTTCTTTCATTAAAAAGAAATGATTATTAACACAGATGTGTAAAAAAAATTCAAACTAGTATCAGCTCTTTTTATCTGACAATATGTATAAGGAAGGTTTCCATCCCCAAGACAGAAAAACATAACAGAAAGCATGAGAAAAAAAACCCACACAGTTGGGATCATCATCACCCAAGTAGCGAGTGGAACCCACAAACCAAATCAAGGCCATTGCCTGCTTCTATTTCTGTGAAGTCTTTGCTATTTTAATAGTTGGGGGAAGGGAGTACAACGGAGAATAATATTTCATAATATATAAAATGTATATGGAACTGAAGCTTCAGAATCCTGAAAGCAGAACTTCCTGGCTTCCTGAAACAAGGAATGTGTGGCAGTGGAGCCAAAAATATTTACTATCATCTGGCCCTGACAGGAAAAGCTTGCAGACCCCTGCATCTGAGAAACAGATTTTGGGGGAAACGGAGAAGGGAAAAAGAAAAGAACACTTGAAAATAAATTGGTTATGGCTATATTGTTATCCTCAATATTTTTAAATCCCCTGGGTTCTCAGATCCCACCTCAGACCACTGGCAACCATTCCTTCTATAGAAGAGAAAGACAAAAGAGAGGTAAGGCAGGGTGCTAGACATAGGAATGAACTTGAACAGACACAGCATATACTGTAAAGTCAACCAGGAAGCACCTTCAAGGGAAGATGCTGCTAACTGGAATATTATCATGAAGAACATTGCTCTGCAAGCATTTAACAAGCTACATGCAGAGTGGGAGTGTCTGGAGGCAGACAGTAAAGAAAGGTGCTAGTAAAGCGTAGTGCTGAAATAGTTTGCAAAATATAAAGATCCCTGGGTGGGAATGGTGGTACAGGCATATAATCCCAGCATTTGAGAGGCAGAGGCAGAAATATCCCAGTAAATTCAAGGTCAACCTAATCTATCTAGTGAGTTCCAGGCCAGATGGGGGTACATAATGACATAGACAGACAGATAAGGAGATAGATATTCCTGAGTGTAGACTTTCAGGTAGATGTGTTCTGAAGCAGTGTTTCCTAAACTCGCACATGCTATTGGATCCTCCTTCTTGTGTCCTGTGAAAATGCAGACTGTGAATCAGTAGACCTGGGAGTGGAGCTCAAGCTTTCAAGGGATGCAGATGGTGGAGCAGCAAAAATAGAATGAGGCCAGACCATTAGCTGGTCCTGTTTATTGTCAATCATCATTAGACCTCCTCCAGAAGATTCAAGGTGAGAGCCAGGTTACTAGACCTACTGGGAAGTTATCTTTTTTTTCATCCCAATCACTGCCCCTCCCATCCCCCAGTCACAGAGTCCCTCCCCTCACTTCCTCTCCTTCTTTTTAAATCAGGTTTCCTCATAATAGCAATGCTTGGTTTAGTGAAATCTACCTAAAATGTTTAGTGCTTGTGTCAGCAAATCATCTTCTCACACACACACAAACAAAAAGATTTGCTATCACTGACCATCTTCTAGAATGCTATGGTCTCCCAGGGTAACGATCATAAAAGTAGAAGTGAAAGGGGTTGCAATATGCTATTAGCATCACTGAAAAAGAGGACATAATTTGACTTACATGATGGCCACTTGTATTTGTAAGTCTGGGAGTATGTGTAAACCTAACCTCTTAGGCACTTCCCACGTCATATGTAGTTCCCTGGCTTGCCCATAACATTTCTCCTCCAGTTTTAAATTTTAGTAAGTCAATTACCTAACGCTGACTTTGGAGAAACCTCACAATGGTTTTCAAGAACCACAGACTCAGTCACAGGAGTGGGAGGTCTAGCTTCACCAGAAAGTGATATACTGATCCAATTTCCTAAGACTTTAGCCACAGAAAACATGGAAAGGTGGTTTGCTCTTTTTAGCAGGGTTCTCAACCGCACAAGCCTAACTCTTTCAAAAGTTAATTACTGGTTTTCTCCTGCCAAAATAAACATGGCCGCCTGCATCCCGTATATGCCAAAGAATGTTTCCAGGCCTGCTGCATTTCAAAGTACACCTAGAATCTCTTAAGTATAGGGTTCATTTCTAGGTGACCTGCAGGCCAATGAAATACTATGAGTTATACAAGAAATCTGTTACAAAGGAAAATAGCCAGAGGTTTCGAAAGTCTAAAATTTTGGGCACCCCCTGTCTCTTTCTAACAGATTTCATCTTTCGTTTCCCCCTAGGAATATGCTTTTGTCTCCACATTCTCTCTGAGAACATCATTCTCGCAGGAGTTATAACAATAATTGAATCCCGGTGTTTTTCAAATCTTAAGAGAAAAACCTCTGCTTCCCTTCACATTCATTTTTAAATCTATTAGAAAGGTGAAGTTAACCATTTTGCATCCATCAAAATCACTGGATTGAAAAAGACTCAAAGAATCCCATTTAAGGACTGATTTATCTTTTGTGAATTGTACCTGGTACTTTGTTCAACTGAACAAGAACAAAAGTCAAACAAGAAAGAAATTCCGGTATGGTTGTTCCCCCACAAAACAAATGCAAGCATCTAACTATGAATTCATAAAAGCTCAATTTGTGAAATGCAGTAAATACATAGTTTTTTTCCCCCCTCAGTGCAACCAAATCCACCAGCCATTCCAAACCACTTACTAATTCAGTTTCCATCCTGGACTATATATTTAATACTAAAGAAAAGCCTCCTTTCTCATTGATATAGCTGATTGAAACTGAGAATACATTTTTATTTTTGACATAAACAAACAGCCTGCATTATGACAAGGGTTTCTTAAATAAAAAATTAGAAAGTTTCCATAGATTCTCAGCTCAGTCCCCTGGTCTCTGGAGCTCCACTTACCTAGAAAGAGCAGTGTACCCAGCACCAGGGTGCCACTAATAAACAGAGCCAGTGCAATCCGAATGCCTCGGTTGGTCCCCTTTCCAGTCTCCATGGTGCTGCCTGTTTCTCCTTCCATCAGAAGGGCCGGAGAGAAGACTCAGAAAGAAAGTCACTTTTCGTGGTTTGGTGGCTGGTCTCAAGGTTTGTCAGGCGTTTGACATTCAAGACTCTCTTGCTCGTCTGCTAATAGACAGCTTTAAAAAATTCCTGTCAGGAAACTTCCCCTCGACACCCTTTCTCAAATAATCCTTCACAAATGAAATAAAAGTAACTCAAAATATTGATTGCCTTGGCTCTCCCTTGACTCGACAAAACAAACAGAAGTTGCTTTATCTTGGTGCTCTCCCTCAGCAAAGTCCCTCTCAAGCAATTGTTTGGCAGGCTTTTTGCTCAAGCATTCCGAGTATACATGTTTTACTAGGTTGCTGCACAGATGTTTTAGCTATTTAAACGTATAGTCACTTGGGGAGGAAAAATGTTGTCTTTATCAAAAGTGGATTCTCAACCTCCCCCTAACCATGATAAGTTAGGTGGCGAGGATGGTGTGCATCCACTTCAAGATCTCAATTAGTTACAGATTTCTGCTATGACAGTCATTCTCCTTGTCTGAACTGTCGTCGTCAAAAGTTACTCTTTCAGTGTCTTAGTCCCCTTTTAAAGCCTTCTAAGAGTTCCTAGGATATCCTGGAGCATTTTATTTTAGGAACGTTGTGTATGATAGCATGTGCCAAAAATCAGTCATAGTCCACTGCAGTGCAAAGTAGCAATTAAGACAACCTACAGAGGCTGATGGTTTGGACTGGAACTTTATTTTTTTTTTTTTTTTTTTTTTAGGAAGAAGAAGAGTACTCTTTGTAGGGCTAAGAATTGTACAAAAGACAGCTAAGTATATGAATTAAGCTTATTATCAACCACAAACGATATAGTAAAAAGTCTTTTTCCCTGTGTGTTTTGATGAGCACAGCGCCCATGTAGTTTGTCCTCTAGCTCCTCCCAGGCAGCCTCTGCTTTGTAAGTTTTTGTGTTTCCCTTAAGTGGTTATTTCAGCAGCTTCCTGAGAATTAATTCAGACTTATTTGGTTCCACTAGAAAGATTGATTAGTCACATTCTTTGATTACGATCAAATTCAAATTATAAAAAGCTGCTTTCTTCCTGAGGAAGGGCAATTGACATTTCAATAATATTGAAAAGATTTGTACTTTTCTTCCTTAATGATACAGGTATTACTAATTCACAGCACAGTCAATCGCTACTCACCTGTGCCTATCCAGCCAGAGGTCATAAGATGGTGGGAGTATGGGGAATGATCCAGGAACTTCTGTAAACCAGAAAAACAAAATCTGTGCCCATAGCTTTGGCAGTGACACCAGATCTCAGCAGGTACCAATAAAGGAGGTACAACATGACGGCCCAGTTAACCCTTAATTCCACAGCATGGGATTTTTCCCAAGTTTAAATATTTCTTCTGGCTGGGAGATGGTGGGGCACACTTTTAATCCTAGCACTTGGGAGGCAGAGGCAGACAGATCTCTTAGTTCGAGGCCAGCCTGGTCTACAGAGTTGAGTTCCAGGACACTCAGAGCTGTTACACAGAAAAACCCTGTCTAAAACAACAAAATATTCCCTAAAACATATCTTAACCATACTTTCTGCTTGTTTCATTTCACTCCAAACTCAGGCAGATATATAATCCTTTCAGCAAGCTAGCAACATCATAGCATGGTGAAGCCCTTCTGTGTCCATTGGCTATCAATGTTACTTCATTGCTGATGAATTTTCCCCAAGAAAGTTTGTTCTTAATTTCATAATGCATCTTAACAGTGTGAGCTTCATGGGTCCAAGGACAGTATCTGTAATTTTCAGCCCTATAGCCCCAACAGCAACAGTTAATGGCCTAACACAGTGAAAGAGAAAAAAGAAAAGCAAAGAAAATGACTCAAGTTAAAAATGACCAAGTTATCCCTAGTTAAAAAGCATCTTCGGGAACCAGTTTCATTACATCTTTAGAAGGGGGCAGAGCTTGTAAATACTCTACTGATAATGATACTTCAGGTGGACAAAGTACTTTTGGTTTTGATTTCACATCAAACAAATATATATGACAGTAAATGCATTTGTAACTCCAACCTGAAAGCATTGCCTCAGGTGGCACAGGGCCTCAGATGGCAAGGTGGTGACGGGTTCATTGTGACATACTGCATATCAGCAGATGACAATGTCCCTGTGCACAGGGGAGAGAAAAGCCACTCAAGGATGACATAAGGGACTATTCCCTATCTCTTCCTTTCTCTTCCCACTCTCTTTGAACCTCAAGAGTCCTGGCCGGTTTGGAATGGTGACTGTGGGCTACCTACCTTAGACTGGTAAATCCCCAGAGGCGAGAGAAATTTGGGAGTCCCTTTAAAGTCCCACCCACCCATCATTTGGAGACAGGACTTCCTGAACGTTCAACATCTGAGAAAAAGAAAACAGAAAAAAAGAAAAAAGAAAAGAAAAGTAGCTGGGTGGTGGTGGCGGCGGCGCACGCCTTTAATCCCAGCACTTGGGAGGCAGAGGCAGGCAGATTTTGAGGCCAGCCTGGTCTACAGAGTGAGTTCCAGGACAGCCAGGGCTACACAGAGAAACCCTGTCTCAAAAAACCACAAAAGAAAGAAAGAAAGAAAGAAAGAAAGAAAGAAAGAAAGAAAGGAAGGAAGGAAGGAAGGAAGGAAGGAAGGAAGGAAGGAAGGAAGAAAAGTAAACCAAAAGACTAAACACATTTCCACTGATAGTAATAGAAAACTTGATGCTTTTCATTCCAAACTTAGACATGTGTAGAAAAGAATGCACTTGATTCATGAAAATAACTCTATGGAAGTAAAAACACAACTCACAGGATGTTAAAAATAGTTGGCTGAATATAATGTAATGTAATGAAGGCTCCTTTTACTCACCAAAGAAATTAAAGGAACATTTGAGAGTGGGTGGGATTGACGGAGGACAGGATGTGGGTGGATCATTCCTTATAAGGTGCATTCTTCATTATGTGTCATTTTCTGCATTAATTTTTCAGCCTTTTGGGAGATAGTGATTATCTTGTACTGAAAATAAAGGCACTTAAAAGCAAATTAGGATGAAAAAATACCTTAGGCCAAAATAAATAAGTTCAAGGTACAGCTGAATAATGAGTGTTCACAAAAGGCCAAAGAAGAGAACTGTAAAAGGAAGTACATATCAGCCCAATCTGGTCTATTCTCTGTTTCTGTAAATAGTTTTCTCGTATCACTTATGACTGCATTCATGCTACACAGCCAAAGTTCTATAGTTTTGTGTCAGACATTTTTGTCTGTGAAGTTTAGAATGTTTTACTCTATGGTCCATTGCAGATAAAAAAAAAATGCTACTTCTTCAAATGACATACAAGACCCATGCTCACCTGCAACTCAAAATTGCTCCAATCTATGCTCTTGAAACAGAAACCATTGTGTCAAAGAAATTGAAGAATGGATCTTTATCTGAAACTTCAATAATGAGACTATATAATATTATCCTGTGTGTTGGAGAATGAAAAGTCATTATCCCCAGGGAGGGGACTGTTCAAAGAGTCTCATTCTCTAGAGCTGTAAAAATGAGTTAACTGGCGATCGCTGCAGGGTAAATTTGTTGATAGCATGATACACATGCACTTGTTTCAAATCAAAACATTTCAAACCAGATTGGGTCTAAAATGCAATCAATTAGTGAATCAAAAGAAGTTTCCTGGCACTTTCTCACATTCCTGGCCATGTGCAAAAACTCATGAAAAAAAAAAAAAAACAAGAACTCGAACTAGAAATTCAAGAACGGTCAACTGGAGCTGGAGAGATGGCTCAGAGGTTAAGAGCACTGACTGTTCTTCCATAGGTTCTGAGTTGAATTCCCAGCAACCATACGGTGGCTCACAACCATCTATAATGAGATAAGTAATAACATCTATAATAATCTTCTGGCCTGCACGCATACATGCAGCTAGAGTATTGTATACATAATAAATAAATAGAATCTTAAAAAAAAAAGAATGGTCAACTGGACTCAGGCATGAAAATACTTGAAACCTTTGGCAATTTCACCACAAAACCCTCCGTAGATCACATAAGCCTAGCCAGAATGGCAGTATCCTAATTCAGAAATCTGAGTGAGATTTCTCAAGAATTCCAAAATACGGACCTGAGAGAATTAGAAGAAGCTTGATACCATAAATCTATGGTCCTCAACTTCCCTAACGCTTAGACCCTTTGATAGAGTTCCTCATGCTGTGATGACCCCTAACCATAACATTATATTTTTTTTGCAACTCCAGAATCATAATGTAAATATTTCTGAAGACAGAGGTTTGGAGAGGGGTCATGATCCACAGGCTAAGAAACACTGACATAAAGGAAAGCTTGTAAATAAGCCAAGGCCTGCCTTGAGGTGCGAATTACTTGAACATTGCCCAGTTGCTCTGGGGACGAAAAAGTGAGATTTTTCTTAGCCAAGCTTGATAGCAGCAGCCTATAATCCCACCACTCAGGAAGTAGAAGCAAGAAGCTGAGAGAGACAGTGGCCAAAGTGACTGGGTTGCCGGCTGAAACCTTTCTTTGTGCTAGATAGTACATCCGATGATTGTGCACATGCAGGGGTCTTTGGTTTCAAGCTATAAAATCTCATGTGGGTAATTCATTTCAGTGAGGAAGAAAGAAATGATTCAAATCCTGGACAATGTTTTCATCCAGCCACTAGAAAGAGGATGGTGCAGGGGATAAAGAAGGAGTTAGACAGGAAAGCTAACTAGTAAAAGTGCCATCTAGGGGCTGTGCCGAGACCTGGTTGTTTGTTGGCTTCAGACTAGCCAAGTTCAAATTCTATGCCTCCCACTAATGAGATACATTACTTACTTTACACTGCTTTCTTGGAACATCTTTCCTAGTTAGATATTCTTATCTCTTTTTCACAGATAAAGAAATTGAAGTTTGGAGCTATTAAGTGATTTGCTGAAGGTCAGAGAACCACATTTGTCTGAAGGCCAACATGGTTTCAAATTCCAAATTCTTGCTCTCCCCTATTGCCTGATAAGTTTGCTTATCAGGTAATTAGCAAAGGTAGGCATAGCAAGTCAAAGGGACACTTGAGCTGCGGTGAAGGGATAAACTATGCTCCCTTTAATTCTCTTGTTTACAAGACTAATTATCAGACTTCAGTCCCTTAACAGGGACAGCGCTCATCATTTAATGTGGAGGGGGAAGGGGATGTTTTCAGTTGGAGAATATACAGAGCAATGCAGGAGATAGCTCCTGCTGTGTTGCTGTTGCTAATTGAACATTAGGAGAGATATATAAATCTGAACAGCTATTTAATTCATGTGCTCTACTTGGTCATGTTTGAGCCAGGGGGATATTTTTCCACTCCATGATTTTTCCTTTTACATTTTAAATAGCTTACAAAGTATCAGGTACCTTATGAATCTTCCTACATATTTCATGTTGGTTGATGGTGTCCCTCGTATGCCCTATTCTCCCCATCTCCCTAATGCTACCCTGCTTAAGCCTTTCCATCCCAGTGTTACCTCTTCCTCATTCAGGGCTTATATGTTCTACTTGATTCCTTGATTTTCTTAGCACCTTGAACATACAATTGTGTATTTCAGGTCTCATTCAGTCGATGCATATTATGTTGTCTGTTCTGCTGTATTCTCTGGGTAAAGTTGCTAAAGCTGACAGGGGGAAATTAAAGTAATATGATGGGCAAATGACAGAACCTAATGGAGACTCAACTCTGTCTAATATGCACTTGAGGTTTCTCTTCTTAGAATATGGTTAGACAACAAACACAGAGACAGTCTTTGAAAGAAGTTTATTAGTTTCCAAGAGGGGTCTATCGTGCCACAGAGAAGAATGGAACTGGACCAGGTTAGCTAGTATGCAGAAGAGGGGAGGGGAAACCATGAGCATGGGTGAAGTAAGGTAAAGAGCCGAATGGGCTTCAAAGAATGGTGCAAATAATTCCAGCAGGCTCTGGTCAATAGGAACAATGTATAGTGCACTAGTGCCCAGTGCACTGGGTGACCGAGGACAGCAAAGCAATGTACCCAACTGTGCTATCTTCAAAAGAGAAGATGCAGATATGAGTTTAGGAGTGATTATCTATCAAAGGCCCAGGCCAGTCTTTTATCTCTGGAAATCAGCTTTTTGTGGAAGAGATAGACCATCTAGTGCCCTGGACCATTCCAAGAGGGTCCCATCATAAAATACAGAAACCTTAATACACACACACACATCAGATACAGATC